GTTTCACACAATTACGCAGTGGAAATAAATAATTATACTATATTTCAACATCAACTTATAATAATAAACAGTTTGGGCGTCCCCTGCTTTATACAATGTTTCATACAAATAAACTTATAAATACAATAAATATTCCTAACCGATCCGACCTGGTGTTGTTTTCTTCCACTCGTGCCTGACCCGTACGCCTTCAAAAGTTCTGTAGGTCGCCACAATGCGATACGCCTCAGCCTCGCCAAATTACGCGGTAATCCTCTATTACGTGAACCAAAAAACCGTTATTTTAAACAAACCGCAATGTTATACCGCCGAACAAAAAAAAACAACATTCTCGGTCACCGATAATTCCAGTTGCAACAAAACCCGAGAGAAATTATAACTCCGAGGTTAAAAAAAATAATAAACCGAACAACACACACAATACTGAAAAACGTGTTCGGGCCGCCGCCGACCGATGGTCACCGAACCGGCTCCACTGATAAGGCCGACAGTGGTATCAGCTGACCACGGAGGCGGCACTACTGCCTGGCGTGAACACACACGATTACACGAAACTTAACACACATGTATGCAAAACGCAGTAGTTCGATCACTGGACACTGAACGTTTGAATTAGCTGTTTGTAGTGTGTTTATTCCTTTATTCCAACTTTGATAGGTACTAAGATGTTTATAATAAAAAGGATAACCAAGATACGTGAAAATAAAATAATACAACGATGGACGGCCTGCGCTAATCGCTATTATAATATGGTATCGCGATTCGTAGAAGTCAAAGTCACGTCTTATCAAACCCGGGGTTTCTGGGCACTACCACCACGCTGTTTAATAATAAATGACATAATTACTCGAACGTATACCAATTTACTAAAGTATTATATTGTATTTGCAGTATGCCCCAATGTCGTTATCATGTGACGTATATCGGTATTAATTTTGCAGACCAAATTATATAAATACAAAATAATATTTACTTTTTAAAGTTGATTTTTTCATAAGCTGAGGGTTAAAAAATTTAAAATTTTTTTTATAGTATTCGGCATCCGGATGCCCCCAAACATCTGCTGCCCGGGGCAAGTGCCCTTAAAACCCTCCGTCAAATCCGGCCCTGTTTATAGTATCATTTAAGTGTAGTGTATATTNTTTATAGTATCATTTAAGTGTAGTGTATATTAAGATACAACCGATAGAGTAGGTAATTAATTTGACACTATATTGTTTAAACCCAACTAAACGCATAATTGTACATTCCCAAACAACAATCATATTATGTCAATTGCCACCGGAATTTCTGGTAATCTTTTTCTTTTTCTTTGCCTTAATCCCAACTACTAGGGGTCGGCCACCCTTATCCTAAGATTCCACTTGACACGATCTCCCACATCTTCTACGCTCACATCAGCTGTCCTCAAATCGCATTCAATAGCATCCCTCCATCTCTTTTTTGGTCTTCCTCTATCTCTTCTTCCTTCAACATTCATTTCTATAACTGTTCTTACAGCTTTCGATTCTTCTTTCCTCATACCATGACTAAACAATCTAAGTCTATTTTCTGTCATCTTATCCACGATTGACGCAACACCTATACTTCCTCTTATATGCTCGTTCCTTATCCTATCTTCTCTAGTCACTCCACTCATCCAACTAAGCATTCTCATCTCTGCTACACTTATTCTCTGCTCTACTTTCTTATCAATCGCCCAACACTATGAACCATACATCATAGCTGGCCTCACAATTTCATACTAAATTTAAAAACTATAATTAGTATTTATTCATATATTATATTTTAAAATCAAAGAACTACTAATTAGGATATAATTAAAGAAATAAGAGTTGATGTTGCTTTTGGAATAATCCACCAATTTCTCTAAATGAAACACTATCTACAGATTTGCATCGAAGTGTTTCTTATGATAGTGATTTTAATCATTGTCAGATATCATCTATACTTGTCCCATCTATGCCTCGTCCACACTGTGCCTCGACCCCACTGTGCTACCGTTTTTTATATTAAATATAAGCTTTCTTTCATCAAATTATTTTTTATTGAGGGAAGAAATGATTGTAGACTTCCGAAAATGTGAAACAAATTCCATAAATGAAATTATATTGTAATTGTATGTAGAATACGTAATTATCGTTAAATTTTATAATTAAATAATCTCGATTGTATTATAATTTATAATACATAAATAACAAAGAAATAAATCAAAATTGCCTATACATTTTTTTTATAAAATAAAACACTTTTAATTACCAAAAATTATATTCAAAATTGTTGTTATCCTTGTAACTTCATGAAAAAAACACAGTGAGATCGTGGTATAGTTTGAACTGGACAGCTGACAATATTTTATTAAAAATTATTCCATCCTACAAATAATTTAACTGAACTTAATTTATTTTAGCCAAACAAAACTAATACGAAATGCATTTATCCTAATTCATAAAAAAATAATGTAACCAAAAAAATATTGGTCGACCTACATTTTTTCTTATTAAATCTACTATTATTTGAAATGTATCGATTAAATTAAAATTGTTTGGTTAATATAGATCAGATTAATAGGATTTTAGGATTTATTTTTAGTATTAACTTAATTTATTAACCTTTATTATAATTTCCATCAATTTTTTACAGTAGCGTGATTATAAAATTTTCTCGTTATTCAAATAAAAGATATTTACTCTCACTACGATCAAATTGCATTATATATTTTTCTTCGCCTTAATCCTAACTACATGAGGTCGACCACCCTTAGAGTTTAGACCCATTTAGCACGGGTAGGGATAGGATATCGAAAGAAAGTATCGATACTTAGTATTGAAACTAGTATCGAATACAAATATTGATATCAGTAAAATATCGAAACAAATGTATCGATATCAGTAAAAATCGAATCATTTTATAAACCTATATTTCACAGTATCAAATTATACTGAATGGAATTATGAAATATTGTACTTTTAGGATTCGTTTCCCACTGATATCGATACTAATGAATGTTAAAAATATTTGTATAATTAGTACCAATGGGCAATGACTATAGTCATTACTCTGTTATTTCTATTTCTATCCACTAGCAAAAACCAAATATTTGCAATTACATTTAAAAGCCTAAATATACGTAATAAATTTTAAATACAAATTGTCTTTTATTATTTATTATACATTCATTTATACAAAATACTAATAATATTATAATTTATAATTGGTCATAATTAGCCAGTTTTCACATAGGTACATAAAAAAAAAATACTAATATAAAAAATATAACTAAAACCAATCTTCCTCTGGGATATCAGCTAACAATAATATTTTTTGAAGGCGAGAACTAGTTAAACGATTCTTAGATTTGGTTAATAATGCTCCAGCCTTTGAAAAAAGTCGTTCGCAAGGAACAGATGTTGCAACCATGGTAAAATGCAAACGCGCTTGTTTATACAAAATAGGAAATACGTGTTTCATATCCTCCCATATTTCAAGAGGATCAGACTTCAGGGTTGATACTGGATTTGATAAGTATAACGATAACTCATCGTTCATAAAAGTTGTGGTCTTTTTCTTTTTTTGGCCATGAACCAAATATTTATGATGTGCCTAAAAATCGAAGTTGTCTGTTTTAGAATGTTCTCCTTCTGACTCACTAGAAGAAATGGTGTCCAACTTTGACAACTTTCTTAAATCTACTATCGCATGTATCGAATGTCAGAGATACATGAAGTGAATTTGACAAACGCAATTTTAATGCAGCTTTAATAACCTCATATATATTATCAAGGGCGTTTTTTATAGTGTTAACAGAGGGAACTTTGTATGATGGTGCCAATTCTTTAATGAACCGTCTAAATCCTTTTCCTTCTACTACAGAAAATGGACGGTAATCTTTACAAATAAAGTAAAGTAATGCCATAGTTATTTTACGAAAATGATGACCACCTTCTGAAATATAAAAATAAAGTATCGATATTAATAACATAAACAACAATAAATTATGCTGATAAACATACCTGGATATGAGCTAATTTTTTGAAAAGCTTCAACAATAGGGTGTTTTAGACGTTGTAGAGCCTGTGGTGGATCGTCTACACATTCCTAAAAACAAATTAATTATTAGATACAATTCTAAGAATAATTATGTGATAATTTAATTTTGTAAAAATAGTTATGTATTCATCGCTTATCAAAGTATCGATAAACCAGTCCGATGATAACAATTATTTTATATTTTTAATGTGTATACCCTGTTATTGCCGTACCACAGAAAATTAGATGCCTATTATATAAATACAAATACACAAACGCACTATATATATAATTATACAACATATATAATAATTAATAATTATTACCTCTGGCTCAGAGTCTTCCATACAAAGCGTTAGTTGTCGCGACTGAGTTTTTGATGAGCAAGGTTCTGGCAATGTAAGCAATAGCGATACAGAACTACAGAAAATATATGAACATCACTGTTTGATAGAGTAACATTACTTATAATTGAATCAGTTATTTTAAAAACAATATAAGTCATAAAATTGAAATTTTACACAAATTATAAATAACTTAATAATAACTTCATAAATTTACATTTGTTTGTATATTCACTTATACATAAATTTATTTTGCGAGTCTGTAATAGTCATTATTTATGGTTTTAAATAGTGTATTTTTAACTACATTAATAAAATAGTGACGTTGTTTTTGAAATTACCGAGTCAATTTCAATAAAAAATAAATAAACAATTTAATAAGTAACTTACTTTTGAGTGATAGTCAATTTTGACTGTGTGACTATGGATGATTTAGTATTAGTCAAATTTAGATGTTTTTCTAAATGTTTGGATAAATTTGAAGTATTGCCAAAATAGCATACTTCTTGTAAACAATGCTTGCATAATGCAAGAACAGCGTCATTTTTTTAAAAATATATCCAAACTTTGCTCTTTGGAGGAGACATAATTTTTTGAAAAATAATTTAATAAACAAAATATTTAAAAAATGTAAAAAAGAAGGAGCGGTTGCACACGTGCAAATCAATCGAAAATTAATAACGTACAAGGTTAATAATGTTAATAATAACTTATTATTATTATTTAGAGCATTCGTGTATGTCCCCGATTTCATAGTACCTGTCTATATCACAGACTATATGAAAATATATGTATATAGTCTGTGCGATTGTGCCTATACGGCTATACAGAATGTTTGATATTTCTTGCCTTCTCAATAAACGGGCATTTAATTACACTGATTAGGAAATCTATTGTATTGTGATTTGTGGACTGTGGTCAGTGGTTCAAAATAGATTGTTCGATACGAGTACTTTTAAAAAATGAAAAAGGGATTATTAAAAAATATTATTTCTCATAAAAAAATTGTGTTGATCCATACACTTTTCAATAAGTTATAGCATTATAAAGTTAAAAATATATTTTCACCGTGAAGACAAAATAAAGTCCAAAATTTTTTTTTTTAATATTAACGTATATTACATAAGCTTTAATTTAAGATATATATAAAAGTGTCAGTATTTCCGGAACATATTCAAAAGTTAAGTTGAAAAAGTTGTCATTTTGAATTCCCCCCTGTGGGCTGGTAAAGGGTTAAATGTATAAAAAATATATACCAAATAATAGGTAAATACATCAAACGTCTATAAAAAAAAATTATATTGATTTGTTCATTTTTGAAAAAGTTATGGCAGTTTTAAGTAAAAAAAATTTTAAAAATTTCTCAAATTAGCGATTTTTAAATTTGTAATTTTTTTGGGGATTTCCCCCATTTACGAGGAACAAAGGAATAATTTTCAATTTTTGAGGGTAATATCTTCGACTAGATACGATTTGTGATCTTTTGACGTATCGTTGAAAGAAATCCGCTCGGTGAGAGCTGAGAAAAAGTGGTAACAGTAAAAAAAAACACATCATAGTAAAACTAATACCTTCTCAGCTTCGCATCGAAGCTAAAACTTTCCATGTTCTAATAATATTGAATTATTGTTATTAAGCCTAACGTTTTACTCGGTAAGAACGATAAAATGAATTAAAATAATATTTCTGTTCAACTAAACTCTCATTCAATAATTTAAAAATTTTATTTGAAGACAGTTTAAAAATACCGTAATCAAATCAATGAAACAGTAATATTTTACAAGTAAAATGTGTTACTTCAAATTAAAACTAAATTGAATTAAAATATTAATGTTTACTTTAAACTAAAAGTAATTATATGTTTGATTTAATGATAGCTCACTGGAGTAATTTATCATCTACGGAAATAAAATCTTGTCATAATTTTTTTAATAATTATGCTTTAAAAAATTGTACATTAAAATTTTTTTTGTTTTTATGGAATATTAATTTTTTCATTAAAAGTAGCTCTAGAATTTCCACAAAATTTAACAACTTCTATTGTCTATGAGTTTTGAAATTAACTTTTAACAATAATACTATAAACAGTATTTTTAAAAATTCACTTAATTCCATATTCATTTTTGTAATAATCCTTTTGAAACGTTAGATAATGAATACAAATATCTTAAATTTATGCAAATTAAATGTTTATTATGAAAAACCTAGAATTATAACTCTAGACAACACTATAGATATGGTGTGTATAAACAATACTAACACTGTATTTGAGAAAAAAGTTAAAGGAGTGAGCTATACTACCATTAAAATCTCAATTTAAAAATTATAAGTGAATACCAAGCATTTTAAAATGTCTTGCAATTTAAAATTTTTCATTAATAATCATAATTTTTAAAAAAATTTAAATGAGTTTAAAAATGTTATCATTGGTCAATTGAAAAATAAACATATATTGTCCTTCAACATTGTAATAAATTTAATTACGTTGAAAATGTCAAGGATATTAATTATAAAAAAACTGATATTATGAATACTTCTTATTTGATAAAGTATATTCGTTCTATGTTATTAATAAACATTTCATTGGCATAATGCATAATATTTTTGATATAAAAATAAAAATTTTTATATCTAAAAAAAATACTCATTCAATAGACGTAAAAAAATCAATAAGTAAAAAAAAATCAAACTGTTTTTATAATAAAATATAGAGTGTTTAAAATCTTTTACAAGTAAGATCAGTCTTAGACTTTGTGTAATTAAATCATATTATTTAAAGTCTTAAATCGTTTTTTGTAATTAATTATATAGACTATATGACATATAGTGTAAATCGTATACGTAGTGAGTTTAATACGGAAATCAACACTGGATTACTTGAAATATTATTGTATTACACAGGACGTAAGGTAAGTACAATTTAACCTATGCTTTCGAACTTCCAACAATCTATTGCGTGATAAACCATTAATAATTAATGAGAGAAACAATTAATGAGAAAATTAATTTAAATAAAATTGAAGACAATTAAATCTACAAAAAATTTATAAAACTAATAACTATAATAAATAATAATTATAATAATTTACTAAGCAGCCAACCACCAATTTCTTTTTATATTTAACCTATCCCATCTCCACTTTAATAATTTTAATTTCTATATTTTTCTCTTTTCTTTTTATTTTTGGTTTATTACATTATTTTAGTTTTAATCTAAACATATAAAACTTAAAGCATACTCTATGTCGTATGCCGGTAGTGCCCCGACATAGACACAAAAAGTCGTACACAAATTAACAAATGTTCTTTGGCGACGAGTTCGTCGTTTTTAGGTCTTCTCGAGTCCTCCCGTTGGATACACTGGTCAGCCCCAATCCCTCAAATTAGTGAACTACTAAAGGGGTAGAGTTTAAACCCGTCAGCACGGTTTGGCTCAAAAGTAGCAGACTGAAGGGTGCCTCCTCGTCAGCCACCAGCATAACTACCTTTTCACTATGACTACTAAAGGACGGACGGTTAATCCCAAAAACTAGCCAGCACGCAAACTAATTATTAAAATTGACTAAAGGACTAGCAGTTCAACCTTGACTCTTGCTGCACACACACACAATTTTAACAGGATATAAAATATTTACGCTAAGTGCAAGTTTTTAAATAATTATTTTATTTAATAAACGTAATAAACACAATGTTAAAATGTAATGTAAAAATGCAACACAAAACAAATTAAATCGTACAAAAATAAAGTTACTCGCATAAAACATCCTCACCAGTAACTTGACGTTTCTTTGACCAAACGTCCAGTCGCCATATCCTTTTCACGTTTCCCTTTTATATTATTTTTCCCACCATTATTAATTTGCTTACCCTGCATTTCCCTTTTCTATGACATTACTGTAGTGCTTTAGAATTCAGAAATTGCTTACTACTATTGTAAATTTTATATCGACGTTATTCAGCTATTTACTACATCTAAAAACATAACTTCAAGAGTTCAACTTCCTATATCTTTGGCTATAAAATACTCATTTTTCAGATATTTTAAATTTAAATATAGTTCTTGTATCTAAAGCATAGGGTCACCATTAAATTTATGTGAATATTTTCTCACAATAATTTATCTGTATTTAATTTGGCACTTTATTATGATCAAATAATGAACAATATAGTTTATAAAACCAGTCATAGACATACATGTTGTTAAATAATAATTTGTTGGTATATTGTTCATTCTAATCTTTATTAATTAGGTATTAACCTATTTTTATTTTGTACTTTTTGTTTATCATTTATGTTATTTAATTTTTTACATTTTTAAAAATATACTCATTTATTTTTATCATTCGCAAAAAATAATCTAGGAAGATGGATTTATACTTTACTACTAAGTAAATTCTTAAAGTAATCCAAAGAAATTAAATTATTTTGAAAATGACCTAATAATAATAGCATAAAATCAATGCTTACAATTTATTATATTTATGTTTCAAGAAAAATTAAATTTAGGATTAGAGATAATTATTACAAGAAATTATATTTTTCAAATAAATACCAGTGTTTATTGAAATTACACCCTCCTTAAATTTAGTATAATTTGCATTATTTAAAAAAGGGAAATTTGTTAAATATAAACTCTAAAAATATTGTTTGAATTGTGCCTATGCATATCTATTATGCTCATACGAGCAAAAAGTGCCTAACATGCATAAATGTGCAATATAAAATTACAGATTTAAATTTATGTTACAAGAAACAAATTTTTTTTGTCTGTGTAAAAAATAATGCAAAGGCTACAAGTTCTATGTCCTATTCATGAATAAATACTTAGTATTGTAACGTCTGTTTAATTATTAACCTGTATGATAAATTTATCGCTCAAGCATATATTTTAGCCTAGACCTCCTTACAAAAAAAGTTATTTTTTTGCTTTAAATTATCTTTATAATACATTATTTGTTTTTTGGTGTCCTTTTAAATTATTTAGGAAATTTTCATAACTTAGTGACTATTTTTAAAAGTTATTTTTGGAATAGTCTGAGATCTAATTTTTAATAATTCCTCTAAAAATTAGCTTCATCTAGAAAAAATATCTCCCGTTTTTATTGAAATTTGTTACAAAAAATGAAAACTATAGAAACCCAATTCTTTACTTACTGAACGTCATATATAAAAATTATTTTTTATGGGAAAAAAATCAGTGTCCATCTATACTATATCATATTTATATGTTTCGTTTAATTAAATACTCCATGATATATGAATCACTCTGTATATAAATAATAGAGAAATATATAAAAATAATTTTCATAACATTATTATAGTAATATAAATTGAATGGCTAATATTAAAAACACTCAGTTTTTCAAAAAAACAATAAATAGAAACTTGTAAACAAGTATGCATTTTTATTTACAACATAACCAAAAAATAAAAACAACAGTACAATTATTTAAAAAGTAAGTCAACTTGTGATTAAAAAATTCTTTTACATAATAATTTTGTTGTGCACAAAATTAATGCAATTTGACAGAAGTATTTTATACTACTAAATAAGTTAATTAAATTTAGTATTTTCAAAATACTTCATCACTATAGCATATGATTTTCATATATTCGTTTTTTTTACAATCATATACTTTCGACCATTTCCTAAATGTAAAATATTTTTTACCATTTGATTATTAAAATTAGGGCATTGTTGAATTGCTAGGGGTCGGTTTATTACAAATGGAGTTCCAGACCTTATTGCTACTGGTCGAGGTGTGGTTGATGGTAGTATAGGTCTAAATGTATTAAATTTAGATAGTGAAGTAGTTGATTTATTGAATTTCTGAGATAATGGTCTTGTAAAAGTAGGTTGGGTTGTAGCAACAATGATGGGTACTGAATTTGAAGTTACTAAAGTTCTTCTTATTTCACTAGGTCTAGTTGTTACATTATCTGAAGGCGATGTTGATGGTAAAAATCTAATGGCTTTACAATTAGAACTTTGATTATAAGGTAGACTAATTTGTTGTTCAGTTCGCTTAATAGCAATTTGACATTTTTGTGGATGATCTTCTCTATTTGATGAATCATGAAGCCATTTCTTTAAGAATTTTAGATGATTATTAATATAATTGGCGACTTTAGGATCTGCATTTTTTGAAACTATTAATTCTTTAGCATACAACATTCGTTCATTTTCCATAAGGTAGCGGAAAACATCTGTTTCATTATTGAATCTATTAAGTAATTGATTAAATATCTCCTCATTAACTTTGTTTAAAGAAAAATGAATTTCTTTCTTAGGGTTATCTTGGTCATTGTTTATTATTTCCGATTTTTTATGTTCAATTAATGTAGTTTCAATCTTAGAATTTTGTGGAAAATCAAATTTCCTAGATATAACTTTTAAAGGAACAATACTACTGAATTCAGATTCAGGATCTAAATAATATTCTTCTATTAATGAGTCTTCTTTATGAGATACAATTTTGTCATCTGACCAAAAATTTTCATGTAACTGTTGTTTATAATTCTGATTGATTGGAGGACAAAAATTGGATATTTTTTTTAAATTCCTTTTAAAATTAAGTGATTTTAAAGGAAAACCTACTTCAGCATTAGATAATTTGTCCGAGTAGGATACTTTTTTGAAATTAATATCTTCATTATTATGGCTTGTGTATGCTTGAGTAGTATCACTTGAGACGGAATCACTTTCATCATTTAAATATTCTTCAGATTCAAAAAATTCATTGACACTAGATGGTGTATAAGAACTACATGAATAATCATTCAAAAATGATGGAACTAAAGTTTTTTTGAAACTAAATTTAACTGCATTTTTAGTTAACTTTTGACTATAACAATTATTCTTCAAGTTAAAAGAATCACTCAAATTATTATCAGTTATTTTAGAAATATTACTAGATAAAGAAGTATTATTTAATCTTTTAATGTTATTATTTTGGGAAATTCTTTGATGTACAAGATTTTTTAATTTTATTCTAATTTCTCCAGAATTGGCTTTATTAATAGGTTTTGTTATAGGTGATGTATTTTCAAGAGGTGGATTTATTATTTTAGTGTCAGATGATTTTGAAGATGAATTCTCTTCATGATGTATACATTGATTTTTAGGGTTTATAATGTCAACATTTTTTTTCAACTCATTTTTTTGTGAGTATACACTTGTAATGACTAGATCTAATTTGTTGTTTTCTTCTTGATTGTTAGACAAATTTTCATCTTTATCTAATAAACTTCGAACATGTAATGGCAAAATATCATTATCACCATCAACATCAATATCAGAGGAAATGACATTATTACTATCTAACATATTTTCAGAAGTCATATTGTTTAATTCAGAAAGTTTATCATTAGAGTTCATTGATTCCATATGTATAGGTAATTTAGTATGGAATTTAGAGTTCACTTTATTTTTTAATAAATTCATCATTTTAATAATTCTGCCATTAGGCCTTGAATTATGTACTTCTAACTCATTTGACATTTTGTTTGTAGGTGATACTGAATTAGGAAAAACTGAAGAATTATTTAAAGAAATCACATTAGAGACCACTAAATTGTCATTTTTAGCATTACAAATTTCCATTTTACATGATGTATCTCCAATATCTAAAATATGATCTTCATAATCTATTTCTACTTTATTCTTTTTTAGGCATGGTTCATTTAACACTGTATAACTAATATTTTTTAAATCAGTAAACTTATTGAAATTACTTGGATCAGGCAGTAAGTCTTTTAGTTGTTCAGTGTATTTTTCATTTATTTTTCCAAGAGTTTCATTAAATCCATTGCTTTCAGGTTCAAATAAAATAGTTGATGTAATAACTGGCTCGGTAAATGTTACTTTTGAAAAATTAGAAATAGTATTGTTAGTTGAATTAACAGTGACTAATTTTTTACAAGAGTTTTCAGTTTCTTCATTACTAGTATTATATGATCCAAATAATTTGAAACGCTCATTTTCCCTAAAAATATATACATAAATTAAATACTAAAAGGTCAGCTATTATGTAATAATTAGAATTTTCTGAAAACTGGTACATTTTTGAACAGAAAAATGAGTATAAATTTGTCTGATTACCACATGAAAACTAACTCAAATCCAATGTTTGAGCTTAATATTTTGTTAAAAAAAAAATTAAAATTATTAATAATTGCCAATAAATGTTAAGATACTAAATAATATTCAAGATGATACAGTCACAAAATAATTTAAAGAGGTGCTACCAATGGATGTCTTCCTTTCATATTCATGTTTCGTAATTAAAAAAAAAAAATTGTTTGTCGATATATTATTATTTTTAATGGTATGCTAATACAAATAATAAGTTTCTCTTAATGTGATTAAATTACTTTTTAATTTATACCAAACTTATAAATCTTCTATTTAAACAAGACCCCTACAAGATGTGGTTAAAGGTTCATTCAAGGACCTACTTGTATTCCATATTATACCAGGAATTAAAAACATTAAAAGTGTTATTTTAAGAGCTATAATATTACAAACATTTTTTTTTATAACACTGTAATATCATTAAAACGAAACATATATCATTGTTTTAAAAGAAAAAAACTTGTATTACTTATTAAACGTAATAGGCAAATCTTGATCAAAGAATACATTTTTGTTATTAATATTCAACTACTTTTATTTTACAACTACTTGTATATTAATTACTTATAATATTTTTACAGAGGCTATCTGAACAAACAACGGAAAAAAATTATCTACTTTAAAATCATATTTTCATATAAATGTTATATTTTAAAAATGTTGCCCTCTCAGTAATCCTAATTAAGATAAATTTAAAATCAGTAATTTTTAAATCATGAAGGAATAAAGAACTTCAACATTTTTTTTATCTTAATTCAGAAAAAATTAGTTAAATTTGAGATACATTGTAACCATCAGGTTACTAGGGTGATGTGCTTTACAACTGTTATTTTTTTTAATAATTGTAAAAAAAAATTGTTTAAGTTTTGACCTCTCAGAAACTTTTCTCTATTATCGACATGAAATATCACTAAAAATACATAATAGTCTTTAAATTTCGAAATATTAGCTTACTGATTTCCTAAGAAAAAGATACATTTTTACAGCTCACACAGGTATTTCTAGGACCAAACATTACAAACAGTTGAGATTTTTAGAATAGATCAAAATAACAAGTGGAAAATATTTGTTTATAATTGAAATATAAATCAAAACTTGTATTTAATAATAATTAGGATTATTTATTTTAAATTAATACCTTATTTTAATATATTGTTTCAGAATGCCTAAATCAATATATGATGTATCTTCCAAAATATAACAACGACATTTCACACAAATAAACATTCCAGGCACCAATTTTAATGGTAGTTGATCAGTCAATAATTTTTTATTCCATATATCATACATTGACCAGTCGTCAATTGTTAAATCTTCATTGAGAAACTCACCACAAAGTTGACATGAAATAAGAGTATCCAACTGTTACAAAAATAATATATTATAATTGTTATAATAAACATTACACTAATGATGCATTGCGTAACATACTAGATGTAAATGTTCTTCACAAACAGACAAAGGTTCTTTGCTGTACTTCTTAAAACTTTGCTTTGTTTTGCTGCATTCTATTAAGACAATCTAATAATAAAACTAAATTACTAAAATATTTACTATAAAAATAAAGTAATCATAAAATTTTTTTTTTTTTGATTGATGCACAAACAAAAATTTTCATAAATTGGTTAAATAATCATTTTTTAACTTTATTTACCAATTATAAAAAGTGTAACAAAATTAAATTGAGGTTTATAAAATATTAATCGAATAACATTTTTAAAAATTTATATATTTTTCATAACACCTAGATTTTTATTATATGCTCTCTAAAAATATACACAAAAATTACCCAGTTTAAATTTGAATAACTGTCAAACACCACAGTGTATTACATTAAAAGCAATACTTTTAATGATAGTTATTATTGCTTTTATTTTTCCATGTTTTATGGCAGATGTTGTACTTCTGAAATTCTGTTTAAAGGTAACTATTGATGCTGATCTTTTTTAAATAAATAGCAAAAAATATACAAAAATTAATTTACTACCAAATAAAACTAGGTAAAAATTTTTACATAGAGAAAAGTCGACACATCAATATACTATGTAACAAAAGGTTTAAAGAACTGTAACTTATGAAATAATAGTTACAGCTCTTTAAACACTATTACTTATTTTGATACACTCTATATTTAAGTTAAAAGAGTATTATACTCCTTTTATACACCCCTACTAATATCAAGAATTATATAAGACCCGTAAAAAGAGTTACTTACATCACAAGAATCAAACATGGAAAATACATATTTTATTTTTCTAAATTTTTCAGCAGATATAGGGTATTTTGCATTTTTTGAACAATTATGAACTGAACACATCATTATCATCCATGATTTTCTTCCTTTTTTGTAATTCTTTAATTTTTTAGATTTAATGTTCAAATAAAATTGTTTTGCTTCAATTTTTTTTGACTTTAAATTAGAAGATTCTGCATCATTATTTTTTTGGTCTTCATTTAAATTATGACTGTTGATATCACAACCCTTTCTTTTTTCAATTTGCTTTATTTTATATTGTTTTTCTAAATATTTCCAACAACGATCACAGAGACACGAATAAATATTAAGATATGGCGCAACTAAAAAGTAAAAATACAATAACACTTAAAAATAAAATAAAAATATATTTTAGACTTAGTTTATAATTCAAGAAAAATGTATTTTTATTTTTATTTATATTAACTAATTAATTAATTCGATTATTTAAGAAATTAGGTGTGATAATCCATTTTATAATTAGAAAAGGTTTATCACTTATTTCAAAGAAATTTAAGTTTTACTACACATTATAGATGCAAAAAGGGAATTAAGAGCTTTGTAAGCTTTAAATGTTAAATCAGTCCTAAAATTGAAAAAATACTATGTGTATTCAAATTATACTTTATTCTTAAATAAAGGAAGTTGAATAAATAATCATAATATAAAATTGCCGTCATACAAAAGAAATATGTCAAAAATATAGCATTTTTAAAATTTTCTTACTTAACATATAATTTGTAATTGTTTTGTATCAGTTAAAAAAAAAAAACATTTTTATGTTATAATTTAGGAACAGCAGTTTCAATTGGTAAAATAGTATTTTAGGAAAATTATTTAATGGTATTGAAAATATTTGGCACATAGATATTTTTTATTAATATGACATGATAAACTTCAAAGTAAGAATATTTTTTGTAGTTTCATTAATAGTTATATTAAAATTTATTATTTTTATCAAAAAATAGTATTTAAGATTATGTTTATTAAATGTACCTTGTACATTTAATAAACATAATATTTTATATATTATACTAACTTTCTAAAAATGAATTTTGTTTTTCGATATTACGTACACGACCAATGTGATTTGCATTATCATAAACTGCAAATGATTTTTCACAAGATGAACAACTATCTTCACACTTATGAGCCAAAAGGCATGATAAATTTGGAATACTCTTACTAAAAACAATAAAACAATATCATTTATTACAAAAAATGTTAAGTATTTTATTACTAACTTTAAGTTGATAAAAATTTATAGAATTCAACTTTTTATTCTCATATCATGCTCATTGTCAGTTTTACTCTAAGTAAAATTATTCAACCTTCCTTTAATTAACACGTGGTAATATTTATTATTTTATCAACAGTAATAAAATACAATTTTTTTCAGTTTCTTAGAGAAATTTTACTAATGCCTTTAATGTTGTTTTTGTAAGTTTTAGAAAACATGCTACAGATGGTGTAAAGATATTTAATTACTCATGCACTCAGACCTTATATTAATTTTGTTTTTTCACATAAGTGTTTTTGCTAATGTTGAATACTTTAGACTATATATACACATATACATATCTGTTTATATTATATAGTATAATGATTGTTAATAATTTATTTAAGGCACTACATAGTCATACTAAAATTATCACAATACTTACAGTAATTTATGATCCAATCTGGATTCTATGCACATTGAAGATGTAATATTATTTTGCTCTATAAATGACAATTTTATAATTGATTATATTTTAAAAATAAATAATTTATGACATATATTTATACACAGTATACTATTGGTTAGGTATGTAGGAAAATTTTTTTTTGAAAAACGGATTCTTTACATTTTTTTTTAGAAACGTTTTTAAATGTCTAGGCATTATTTTACATATTATAAAAAATCTTATAAAATTATGTTAATAGATCAAATTTACAAAGTGCATCGAATCCTCAAGTATTCAAGTAATATTTAAAGAGACTTAAAAAAATATAGATAATTTTCAATTTTGAGAATTATATTTGCTAATTGTTAAAAAATAAATAAATACTACATTAAATATATTACTATATAGAAATAATATAAACAATTTAACTAAAAAAAATCATTTCATTAGAAATTAATTATAATTGAGAAACGAAAAAAAATAAATAATCTAATATATAATACAATTTTAATAGTATATTTTTTTAGAAAATTACTTTTTAGAGCTGCTTTTCTAAATTAATGATATTCACTTAAAACATTTTGCACAGTTAAACATAAAATAATAACTACTCTACACTATTTGCCACATTATTGCTAAATCTAGACTGAAAATGGACAATTTTAGACTTTTCTTAATATATCTTTTTTTTTCCGAGTATAAATATTTTAAGGTATCCACTTAGTGACTTATTTTAAATAGATCCAGTAGTTCCATTAATAATAGTCCACTATTATTATTACTGTGACAAAATTAATTTTTTCATCGATCATACAATTTGTTAAACTTTCATTTTAAATAAGTAAAATTAAAACTATATTAAAAATATTATTAATTTAAAAAAAAAGANTTACAAAGAACTTAATATCAGAGAAGCAATAGAAATGTTTAAAAATAAAAACAATTTAATTAATTGGGATCTTGGCCCACTGAAAAATTCATTATTAAACTTGTGTAAACTGGCAAAATGTGATAATATTACTTAGTGATAACGTCACTAGGTGATAAGGTCACTAGGGGTATATAAGGGAGTTTTTTCTAGTCGGGGTGTCAGTATGTGTTTAGCGTTGATAATGGTAACATTGTTTCCGAAATACGTATCCGCGACTTTTCATTAATTTTTTTGTGGCTTTTGAGTTTAATATTTTTAATATTTTTTAGTTTTTTTTTTTTAAATTAATAATATTTTTAATATAGTTTTAATTTTACTTAATTAATTAGCCACAAGTGATCAATTTTTATTATATTTATTTCATTTTAAATCTTATTATTAACTCATTGTTTTTGTTTTCACAGCTGATATATATTAAAATGACTTCAATGTTACTATGATATTATAACATAAATGTATGATAAAAATATTATAAAAAACAGTCAAATAACTTCATAATGTAATATTTTTCAAAAAAATTAATTATTTTTAAATAAAAAATTTATTTAAAATATTGGTAAAATTTAAACAAATTATTTTGTCTATACTTTCTGAAGCCATTGTAATGTTACACTATAATAAAATGTTCAATATATTTCATTTTTTCTGTTCTCCTTGAAATTAGTTGAAATAAGAGTATCAAATTATGAGGTATTATTTTCAAACACTACAGAAGTTTTTTCAACTAAATATACTTTTTAATATAGAATTCCAAAATGTATAATGAATTATAAATAATTAATGTAATTATATTTTTAAAAAATACTAAGTTTTATATATTTAATAAATTGGAATACTTATATTTTAAATTTTCATTAAAAAAAAAATATATATATATTTCTATATATTTATACTTAAATAACTAAAATTTTAAATCTTACCCTCTGTATTAATTGAAGCGTTTTCATTTTCATCATTAGAAGTATTCTAGAAAAATTAATTGTGTATTGGAATAATATTTAAACATAGTTTAGTTTAAAAGGTTATATTAAGAAATTGATAGAGTTAGGTAAGTTACAAATAAATAGAAGTAAAATTACTTTTTTAATTGCTTAATAAACATTTTATTTAAATTTAACATGTAATGCGTAAGTACACATTACAGTTTTTAAGTAACTAAATTACTAATGAACAAAATATGATATAAATTTTTATTTAGACAAGAAGTACCTAATACCTCATCAGGCCTAAAATTACTTATACTTTGATGATGACAACTAAAGTTAATATTTGTTGATTATAAAAAGAAAATTAAACAGTTAGATTATGCTCAGTAGGGTGGTCCTTATTTTATGAATTTCAAAATTTCTTTCGGGACACCCCTCCAATTTTTTTTTAGTATAAAAAAATTATATTCTGTAAATTTAAAATCATTTGGAAAAATTTTAATTGAGGCGCACAGCATTTTAATGTTTGACCTCGAATTTTTGAAGAATATTCTATAAAACGATAAAAAAAACCTTAGTAAAAACGAATATTTTGATATATTATTTTTAAAAATGTATTTAATTTTTTACATGTGATAACAATATATTGATAACACAAAAATAATTAAACATTTTAATTTTTATACTTTGTTACTTTTAAAGTTTCAACGCCTCATTACAACATTTTCAAATGTTTATAATGACTTTAAAATAAATTTCTCAAGTTTTTAAGTTGAATTGTATAGCACTGAACTAGTGTTAGTTGAAACAAATCATAAAAAATGAAATAAAAATAATATAAAAATACCTTTTTCTGAAATTAAAAAAAAAAAAATTAATTTGGTTTTACTTAATTTGTTAATTTTTCATATCTATTTATTTTTACTTTAAATTTAATTATCTAATTATTTATAGTATTTTTTCTGAATCACGAGTTACTTTTCTTTGAATCAGTTTCAGTTCTATAATATTTAAAATGGAGAACACCAGGCTTTAACGGTTTATAATGTCTTAGAACAATGAGGTCTTGTGGATAAAGTACAGGCTTTCAGTTGTGACACAACAGCATCAAATACTGGATGTCTCAATGGTGCTTGTATACTTTAAAATAAAAATATTTTTTATATGCTATGTAGACATATTTTTGAATTTAAAAAATTTTTTTGAAAATAAAATTTAAAAATCATTTGGTCCAGTTATTACTCTTTTCAAAAATTTTCCATTAGTAAGGAATAATATGAACAAAAATAAATATAAAGTTGGAATATCCAATAAAATTATCATTGAGAAATTAAAAGGGTCAATAGATAGTACGTAGTAGAGTTTGCAAAAAATAAATTAAGAAAGCGACAATAAAGAGATGATTATCGTGAACTTTTAGAGCTCACAATTATATTTTTAGGTGGAGTTCCTCCTCATGGCATATCATTTAGAACCTATGGAATTTTTATCATGCTAGGTGGATGGCTTAATCTATTTATAGTTTTAAAATTTTTCTTTTTCAAGACCAATTAAAAATAACAAAGTTTTTAACAAATCATAAATACATAAAATTTTAAAAATAGACATTTCTGAAAATGTGTAAAAAATTAATAATATTAAAAATTTAGTTCTTTAATTAAAGAATAATAAAATTTTTTAATTTTTATAAAATTAAATAAAATATAAAAGTGCATTATACCTTTTATGTATATATGTACTAAAAGTCTTGGGATATAGTTGATTTATTACTATTAGTATACATTTTACGCCTATTTCTGCAACATTGTTTGTAACTTTTAATTATTTTCGGTGTTCATTCCTATTATGTAGTAGATATTATATTCCCACAAAATAGGATCTATGTTTCAAAAATCTATGTTTATATTAAAATGTTTAAAAAAGTTTGTTATTTTTAATTGGTCTTGAAAAAGAAAAATTTTAAAACTTTAAATAGCTTTAGCCATCCACTTAGCATGATAAAAGTCTCCAGGGGTTCTAAATGATATGCCACAATTTAATATAAGCATGCATTAAAACATGCATCAAATTTTCAGAATATTATTTTTTTATACTAAAGAAAAAAATAGAGGAGTGTTTCAAAAATGTTTTTTCAAATTTGTAAAATAAGGACCAATCTATTGCTGAGTGTAGTTGAATTACCATGTTTAGATATATTCTCATAATAGGCTGCTAATTTGAACAAAATTTATACAAGAGTTTACAAGAAAATTAAATCACAGTAAATTACTTATTGTCCATCAGTTATTATTCCTTAACTAAATGAACAATACTCAGAAATAAACCTATGTTTTTATTTAATTACTTGAAATTGTCACTTAATTTTTATTTAGTTGAATAAAGGAACTCATATTACATTATTACCCAATACTAAAAATAAGAAATTGAAGATGTTTTAAATATTAAATGAAACTCAATGTTAAATTACAATTTAACAAATTAAATAAAATAGACATCACTTTTTACTAAAAATTGTGTGTAACATATAAAAAATAAACAATAAAATAACATAATTGTATTTTTATAATTTGTCAAAATATATTTTAAAAACTTGCTTAGATTGGAAAATGGTACGCTTTGAAAGAATATTAAATTAAATTGAACCAAAGTTTATTTGTAATTTATCAAATGTTTATACCTTATAAGAATTGTTAGGTTGTGATAAGTTAGTTCCAACTAATTTATTATTTCTTAGAAGTTTAGTATGTTCTATATTATTGATTGTTCTTTTAAATTTTTTAACTATATGTTCTTTAGATTCTTCTTCAGGCTCATGAATATTTTTTTTCTTATTTTCTTGTCCATCTTCGAGATCACTAGATTCATCAAGTACTAAAGGAAAATGTTCCACTTTTATACTTTTTATTATAGTTTCATACTCATTTTCACTTAAATCAGTGCTGATTGATATATTAGATGAAGATGAATTAACTGGTTCTATCATCTTATATATATATATATTTTTTTTTTTGATAATAAAAATATATGTTTTAAAATTTTAAATTATCAGTGTGAAAAACTTTATCATCATGTAAATAAGTAAAAAATACTTATTAGATATGAGTTCTAAAGGTAGAATTAAACTTGATACGATGATTTCTCTTTTAATCGCTTCTTACTCTAAAAATTAAGAAATCTTATTAATAATAGTAAAAAAATAATAATAAATTTTAATAACTTAAAATAAATTATAAATAAAAATGTTATATATAATTTCATTTCCATCAAAATTTTTTCTTGCCTTTGCATCTGATAAAACCACTTGATAATAACCCAATAAATGTTGTTTCATACAGACAAAAAATTATATTTTGAATGTTATTTAACAAAACTATTTAATAAATATACTTTAGTAATTAAATAACTAAAAATAGACGTAACTATTTTAATAAAATTTATGAACTAAAATTTAAATAAAACATAGACTAATCATTTTTGTAGAGTACAGTAACCATACATTATACCAAACACCAGGGGCAAAATTAAAATTTGTCTTAAGTTTGAAATTATTTGAATTTTGTGGCATACACTAGACAAATATGGCAATTAATCATTAACAATGCATTATTTTAGTATCCAAAATAAATATTTTTTTTCATTATTGAAAATAATATGCACTATAGATAGACCTCAGATTTGACCAAAAACAACATTAAGTAAGATGATATGCTGTTATTAATACTCAACAATATAATTATTTTTTTACATAAAATATATAAATAACTTGACATTATAATATAATATATTGCTTTGTTTGATTTTTTTTATATGAAAAAAATTTTCTATATTTTTCTAATTTCTTAATGTGGGTCTCCACAATGTTGCGCATGTACACCATTTCCCACCCATTGCTACAGTCATGGTAATGGAATAAGCTTTATACATTTTTTAAGAAATTTAGATTTTTTAATTTTACATAAAACACATTACAACATGTTTACATAAAACACAACTATTATTAATACTCATTATTTTGTTCTTAAGTATTTATGTAAAAATAAAACTATTATTACATCTTTTTTAATTTTTATCCTAAAAATAGGTATTTGTACACTTACTAAGACCTCATTTTGTTAAAATTACAACTATAATACTATTATTATTAATGTTATTGTTGAAAAAGATGTATATAAATAAATAAATATATATATATATATATACATATATACATATATGTGTATGTATATATAATCTATCAATGTAAATATAGATATGCATACATAGGTGTATATATATATATTAACAATGGACTTACCAACTAAAGTTTAAATAAAATTAAACTATGCTTTATATGAGCTTATCAATTATTAATAAGTAAAAATATTTTTTATGAGTTGTTCACTAGTACTTAGTTAAAGATATCAGCCAAAACCGAACATAGTTTATTTAAAAGATAAAATTATACAAGCATCTTATTTTAACTCAACGGCTTTAACTACACTATTACAATAATTTATCTTTATACTAGATAAGGGGTACAGGACGATTATACTGAGTTTGATACCTAGGTATTCTAAAATGGTATTCAAAAATTCAGTGTTCTCGGCAAAAGATTCTTATTTGCGTCAACACTGGCGTGTTGCCCATTCTGTCAAATGTCGGTTAAATTTGTCTTTCCAAAAATGTTTTAAATTTCAGGTAATATGTTGTTATAAGTCATTAAAGTTCATAAGAAAAACTTACTTCGTCAAAAAAACTTTTAACAGTAGACAATGTTTTGTTATTAGATTTTTTTAAATTTAATTTACTTTTATGTATAATTTGTACTTTCTTTAGTTATTCAGTTATTTTATAGTTCAAACGGGATTATCGAAATAATAAAATAACTTGACAATAAATTTACTTAAATATGTTTATAATAATAATAATAATATATTCTTGTAAATTCATAATATTTCATTTTTTCTCTGTGAGTTATTAAATAACAAATGAGAGATTTATTTTTTTTTTTAAATTAAAAATATATTTAAAATATTACTTTAAAATAAAAAAATGTTTAACTAAAAAAACCCTAAAAATTACTAATTCAGACACTTCAGTAAAAATAATTTTATTTATCAAATTCAAAATAAAATAAAATACACCAAATAATACAACATTTTTTTAAGTAATTTAATATAAAAAAATTTATTTTTAAAAAATGGCTTTATGATTATTATTTCTTTTACAATTTTAATATTTATACAAGTTTGATAAATGAAGTTTTATAACGAAAAAAACAATTAATATAATAAAAAACAGATATTTTTATATTACATCAAAAGTTTTTTTTTCTAAAATTGATAAAAGTCGTCCTCTTATAATCCTATTTAAAAAGGGAAGATTTTGAAAAAATAAGATCAAATTTGAATTCAGCAAATACAAAAACATTTTTATCGATATTTTTTTTTAAATCAGAAGTAGAAATGTATTTATTATAATATTTTTGTCATGCTAAAATTTGGTTTTAGAACATTGATTTGTACTAAAAATTTAAACTAAGGCAAATGCCCAAGTTGCACCACTTTTAAATGACGCTTTTTAACTGACTATCCGACAATTATCGGAGATCCTGAGATATTTGCCAAATTTGGGAGCCCGCAAATTACTTAAACCATAATATAAGCCATAACTAGAAATTGTGTAACATGTTATTCAAAAATATATATTTATAAAAAACTTACTGAAATGAAAAATATTTTTAAATTAAAATAGTATTTAATTAATAATTATTAATAAAAGTCAGGATTATTACGTTTTCAACATGCTGTGCTTTAAACGTGTTTAAAATACCAAAATTTACATTGGTCCATAGGACGTTTTAAACTGTTGACTTATGTTTTAAACATGTATTTTTTTTTAAATATGTGTAATAACAACCAACTAAAAAAATTAATTATATAGATGCATCTATTTAATTAATTTTTTAGAAATAATAAATATCCCTTTATTATTAATAAAATATGCATACAAATGATGCCTATATATAATATGTATAATATAAATATATACATTGTATATATATGCTGATTCATAGATCATAAACCAGTTAATTATGCAGAAAATAAAAATAATTTTTAATTTGTTTCTTATAGATACATGTTTTTTTTAATTTATCAACCATAAAGTATTATTATGTATTAACCTTCTACATTAATGGCATCATTGGCGTCGCCCGAATTTCTTAAGCCACTTCATGAGAAATATTTTTTTTTTTGTTTCACTCACAACCATTGTAATTTACATGCTGCGAGAAGTCAATGCGCATAGTTTTTGATCAGACACATTACAATATTGTGATGTACAAACATGTTTATTTATATAAATAAACACACAAATATAAACAAAATTATTTTATTTATTAAAAAAGTTAGTTGGTTATTATTAAGTATATTTTTGAAGTTGTACTTAGCTTCTCAGCTTTGCATCGAAGCTATTAGTTTTACAATGATGTGTTTTTTTTTTGTGTCTGTTACCACTTTTTCTCAATTCTCACCGAGCGGATTTCTTTCAACGATACGTCAAAAGATCACAAATCGTATCTAGTCGAAGATATTACCCTCAAAAATTGAAAAAAATTCCTTTGTTCCTCGTAAATGGGGGAAATTTCCAAAAAAATTACAAATTTAAAAATCGCTAATTTGAGAAATTTTTAAAAATTTTTTGACTTAAAACTGCCATAACTTTTCCCTGTAATAATAATTCCTTTTTCATTCGACATACTTTATCTTAATCAGGATATTAATAAAGAAATAGCTGATCATGTAGCTTTTGGAATAATCCACCAATTTTTTAAAATTAAACACTATTTAAAGATTTGCAACGAAGCGTTTTTTTTGATAGTGGTTTTAATCACTGTCAGATATCATTATATTTGATCCAACTATGCCACGTCACCACTGTGCTGTGACTCCCCTGTACTGGGTTTTATTTTTTTTTATAAATTTGACCCTTTACCTGCCCACAGGGGGGATTTCAATTGACAACTTTTTCACAAAAAATTAACTTTAAAAGTGTTCCGGAAAGTCTGACACTTTTATATATATCTTCAATTAAAGCTAATGTAATGTATTTTATTATGAAAAAAGAAAATTTCGGACTTTACAGTGAAAACAGACATCAAAGTTAATAAAAAAAATACGATTTTTGTAAAAAAATTCTTTTTTACTTTTTTAACTTTATAATGCTATAACTTTTTGAAAAATGTATAGATCATTATATTTTTTTTGTGATAAGTACTATATATATATATATATGTTTATTTATTCATATATTACACTTTTAAATCATAAAACTTGTAATCAGAATATAAATAATGAAATAGGAGTTCATGTAGCTTTTGGAATAATCCATTAATTTTTTTAAATTGAACACTATCTACAGATTCGCATCGAAGCATTTTCTATGATAGTGATTTTAATTTTAATGATATCTGACATTATCTTCTATACTGGACCCAACTATGCCAATGCCCGACTGTGCTGGGTTTTTTTTATTGAAACCTTAGATATTTGCCTTTCATTTGATATAAATTTTTTGAAAATCTGACCCTTTACCTGCCCACAGGGGGGGATTCAAAATAGCAACTTCTGCACAAAAATTTAACATTTTCAACTTAAGTTTTGAAAATGTTCCGGAAATACTCCGAGCTTCAAACATATGTTATTATATATATATATTTTTAAATAACATATTATACAATATCTAGTTATGGTTTATATTTTGGTTTAAGTAATCTGAGGCTCCCAAATTTTGCAAATATCTAAGGATATCCGATAATTGTCAGTTAGTCAGCTACTGAGCTGTCTATCCGAATGTCATTAATTAATTTTAATTCTTACACTAATTTAAATTTAGTCAGAAAAAATTTAATAATGATGAAAATGGCTGATAGTGAATCTCTTAAAATTTATTTAGTATGGGTAGTAGCAGAATGTAGTAAGTTTTAAAGGTATCATGTCGGAAAAACATATCATAGACAATTTCTTTAAGGGACTACCAGATGAAATAATTAATACATTTCGGTCATTAGGTAATAGTACAGTAGATAATATTTGAAGAATTGAAAGAAATACAAATTTGAGAAAATACGATAGCGATTCAGAAATGTTGAAAATGGAAATAGATTCTCTTTTAAAAAAACATAATGGTAAATTTAATGATTATGAAATTATAAGTTATGTAGATAATCAAATTTTAATGACATATCCAAACGATAATCAGCGTAGAGTAATGAATTATAGTACTAATAAATATAGAAAGAACAATTTTAATAACAATTTTAGAAATAATTTAAATAAGAATTATAACAATAAAAATTATAATGGAAATTTGTATAGATTTAACAACATGAATAGGAACTTCTATCATAATAGTTGGTAAATTCACTACGGTTGTATACGAATCTCACCACGAATTATATATATATACGAATTATCATCAAAATAATCCTAACTTAGAGAATCCATCCCATCAGTTAGCCATTTAACATTACGTTCCCCCTTCTATTTCTTACAATGTTTCTTTTCAACCACCATCAGTATGTAACAGCGTGCATAATTCTAATCAATTAAAAGTGAATAAAATTGATCCACCTTTAATTAATAAAGAAGGCATTGTTAATGATAGGATAACTAGTTGTGAATTAAACATTTAATCACTAAATATATTTAATATATTTTCACTAATATATCGGAATGTTAAATCATATTTTAATACAAGTTTTTCAAAAATATAAAGTTTTATTATCAAGTTTGACCCAGAAACTACAGAAATTTAAATCCTTTAATTAGTAAATTAATAAAATAATAACATTTTAAATATAACAATGATATATGATGACTTCATTGAATTCATTTGGTGAGCTTATGGCGCAATAACTAGGCATGCCGCTAACCATTGACCAACAATTCTAATAATCATGATTTAGTTAAGTTGTGATTTGTGTGCCATTCCCTTAAATTATTGATAAATATTACTACTATTATAAATGCTCCATTTGAGACATTAACATTTTCTTAGCAACAAGAGAATTGACAAGATTTTTGCCTCTCTTGTCTCTTTCCTGTTAATAATTTGTTTCATGTTTAACTCAAAATTAAGTTAGTTAATTATTTTTTAAAATATAGTTGTATATTGAATTTGTAAGTAATTTTAGAATTAGATTATATAAAAATAATATAAATTTTAGTGAAATATGCTGTATGGTAAAATTATTTTAAGAACCTTAAAGAGACATTTTCCAACACAACATTCTTTAATTTAATATATTACTTTTATAATATTAACTAATAATATTACTGACAATATTTACATCAAAGAAATTCTTTATTGTATTTGAAAGTTTAATGAAACAATAATTAGGTGATCTTAAAAATAAATTTAACACAAAGTGAGGCATCAATAATACATGTGTTGTATATTCAGATAATTTCTTTAGAAATTTAGGATTATGATCATGATTGT